AAACTTGTTTTTTTCTCTCTGAAAGGACAGAGAGAGATGCAATCTCTCTCTCTCTTCCATTCAGAGAGAGAATACAAAGGGGGCGGGCTTCACAGTGAATGATCACTGCCATAGCCAATCAGAGGCTATCATAGTGATCAGGTGACCCAGAATCAGGAGTTCCAGGTCCTGATTGTTAGAACAGGACCCGGGGCTCTCAGAGATGCCCCGGTCTTTGTGCTGGGAGCATGCAGCGTAGAGCACTCCCAGCAGAAAGACAGGTATGCAAACTAGCGGCCCCTCAGAAAAAATCCGAGTTCTGTGAGGTGCTAATTTGTGTGCGGTCGGCGTCAGGGGGTTAATATATTAAATCGATACTAAACATACAATGTTTAATTGCATTTTCCCTTCTATTTATGTATAAAGATCATGCCACTCTATTTAATCTATTGTAAAAAGTCATATGGGTACCTTATTTAATCATTGCTGTTAGAGGTCACATGATGTTTCCCAGGTCTTTGCTGTCCTCAGGGAAAAGGAGGAGTTTCTAGTACTCTGAATCTGTGGCTGCACAGCACTGATTGGTACTGTGCCAGTCACATGGCATAAAAAAGCTTTTAGAATAAAGAATTAAAATAAATAATTAAAAGCAAAAAGTGCTTTAAAGCTTCAAACAAATCTATATTTTAAAGCAAATGTTTATTTTTATTTTTTTGCAATAACATGGTATAGACAGAGTTTATTTTCACTGTGTTTACACTGTAAAGAGATTTGGCAGAGGTTCTGCAAATCACAGGCTGTGTCACATTCTTCTATCCTGTATATGTGCTGGGACTAACATGGAGGTGAAGCCTCCATCAATCAACATCTTATATCTCACCCCCATAGTGCTTAGCAATATGAGGGTTTGGAGGAGGAATGAGGGAGGGGGAGTGCCATCTACCACTGTGTACACACCCACATGTGTGACTCTATAGTCACATAGGATGCACAGATAAGAAAAAGGATCAAATGAACAGCTTGAGAGCGACTTGACTGGAGCATGCTCATTAGGTGTCAACAATTGTTCTACACAAGGGTTTCAGCAAGGACCCAGACAAGGAGGGAATGACAGTGAACAGCTGGATCAACCAGGATTTGTGAAGTCTACAGAAAACAAATGCTCTGACGGATGCGTGAGTAAGAACACAATGTAATACAGCATATATCGACAGTTTTTGTTAATTTGGGCTTAATGACACTTTAAGTTTCACAATTTTGTGGCTCTTTGACATGCATTGTAGTGCACTAAAATACATGTACATTTTGCAAGGTGTCCTGGGGGGGGGTCATAAAGAATTAATGCCACTGGAGCACCACAATGCATGTATTTGTGGGTTGCAGTAATGCACATGTTCCCCCAGTGCAAAGGTGTGAACAGAGCCTGACTCTGAGTAGGTGTATTTACCAAGTGCTAAGACAGTGCTAAGTCATAAAAGCTTATCTAAGACCCTAAAACATGTTCCTGTGCTTAGATATGGTGGCTGGATTAGTTTTATTTTTTCAGGCTGTTTTTTTATTTTTTTTTTCGCCTGGTAATCCTGAAAATAACATACTCCTGTCCCTGGGTGGAAATACTCTCTCTTCCACTGTATCTGGGGAGGGATCCATGTCTCTCATCTGAGCTGAAAATCAAGTCTTTCTTTATTTGGCTTTATTGCATGGATCTAAGGATTAGTAGTTTACAAAAGAAAGATAAGGGTTTTTTCTTCATTTCTGGCAAGATTAACAGAAATTTCAATATTTTCTAAAACTGTTCTAATCACGAAAAAAAAAACAATTGCAGCCACCACAAGTAATGGTAAGCAAAAATACTATCAGACTCGGTGATGAAATTCATCTTGCACTGGGTCCACTTTAACACCGAAATATTTTATTAAGTAGCAGAATATAAAAATCACAATTTTATGCTTGAAATGTTGAATCGTCAAGAATTTTTTTAATTCTCAGTTGATTAGCAAGTCCATGATGATTTGTCTCAACTTTTTGATTATTAGAAGCATGCAAAAATTGACAATGGGTTAATCAGTAGCTTAAAACACTTAATTCTTCTCTTGCTAATGTTGTTTGCTACCCTAGCCTTGAAGAGGATGAATTAAACCAATGAAAGGGATGACAAATCTGTTCATTTGATAATTAGCAGCTTTTCACAGGTAAGGGACAATTTCCTTTCTTTTGTATTTATAAATGTAGATTTATTTGCTGAGCAGCTGGTTTATTAAAGCATTCCATAAAAGTTAAACACAGAATTGTCATTCCTATTCCTTGTTTTTGATAGTTCTCAGCTACACTGAGGCAACAGATGACCCAGGACACTGCTCCAGGATTGGATAGGGTCTATAATACTCTACCATAATTTTTAAAGAGGCAAGGGCGGAATATTTTTTAGGGCCAATTCACACTATACAGTATGCGTCCACTGCAGGGACACATAGGAAACAATTGTTTCCTATGTGTCCCATTCACACTGCAATGCAGCCTAGAACTGCGCTGCAACATGCTGTGGCAAAATGCAGACATGTTGCATTTTATTGCAGTGCACCTGGCCAAATCACACTGCAAAGTCTGCAAGACAGTGCATTGCGCTGCCCGACATTGCAGTGAATGAAATGTACATTTTGTACACTTCAAATAAAGCTGGTACATAAAAAAGGGAGCCATGTGATGCTCTGAATCGTGCACCACACTGCCCCCTAGTGCAGCTGACAGTACAGAGTGGCTGCTGTGGCGAATCACTCTGGCTGCTGTGATTTAATGGCCTTAGAGTATAAATTCACCCTTAGACAATTTAACACATTTGGTAATGCTTACAATAACACACTTTTACCTTCCAAATGACCTATTTCATGCAAACATTTAATGTAATTAGAGTTTCTCCTGTTCCAGTGGGTGTTTAGCACTTTTGAAAACTACCATGCTGATTTAAAGAGACACTATCAATTTGCCCATTCAGTAGAAGTGAAAATGTCTGTGTAATGCCACCCACCCCAAACCATTGAAAAAGGTCCAGTGATTAGGAATGAACTGTTGGTTAGGTCCCAACCCATGTTCGGATCTAATTTTCCTTGTTCACCATTGTCACCATGTTGGGGTTTTGCAGCCCTGTTGTAGGAATCAAGAGTCTTTTTAATTATATTTGGACCAGGCACATGGATAGATACAAGTGAAAAGCCTAATGAATAGAGAAGGATGTAGTGTATTCTAGATGCTGAGTTGTCTATGTTAGAGAATAATATGTGTATATTGATTTTTTTTTAATCCGATATGGGGTTGCACCAATGGGGAAGTATAAGAGAACAGGGAAGGGGCTATCCAACCAAAATTTGGACTTAAGCATGCTTCAAAGAAGTTATGCCTTTACCCACCAACCACTGAGTATTCAATCAGGAACATTCAGTTAGAATTCTACATTGCTCACTACGACTACAGGCCTGGTGGTTATGGTTTCTTTGTTGTCAAAGTGCCACCTATTTACGGTCAATAAACAAGGAATACATTTTTACTGCACAAGACAGTAATCTGGATTCATTTGTACCAATCTCAACAAAAAAAATTATTTAACAAGTTTAAACATGTTGTTTCTAATTCTGGAACAGTATTACATTATTTTTAGCTTCTGATATATCAAGAGCCCCCTACAAAAACAGTCAACACCCATATCTTTATTCAATCCTATGAAAAAAATATACTGTATCTCTTGGAATTTGGGACTTTAATGATGTCAGTACATTATATTAATTTGTATTAGATATTGATATTCGAAAGATCACATGACTAATGAGAAATGTCACACTAAATGGTTTACTAAAGGCAAAATGTTAATTTCCCCAAGAAATGTTTTGGAATGTTAGTGGTGAGTCAGTTGTTATTGATGAACTGATCTGCAAAAGTAAAATGAGGTTGTTCTAAAATGCATAGGAACTGAATTGATGAATCAAAACTTTCAAAGACATATGGGAGTAGAAAAATCAAACACAAAGAATCCAGCATATATTCTACTGATCAAGGAATGCTGACATGAAACAAATAATGCTCAACATTTTTGAAGCATTATGATACTCCCAGAGAACCAGGTGTGGAATATAACAGCAAGGGTTGAATTCACCATTAGACACAGTAAGTTGGTGCAGATGGCAGCAAAGGTAATGGGGTTGCTTTTTCCTGTGCAGTGCAATCTGCCGAGTATGCTAAATTTCACATTTACAATATTCTACAGTAAGCTGAGTAAAGACTATTTGTTGAGTAAAGACTACTAAACAAAACTTGTACTGTGCAACAATAAGTGTCTCTTGCAGGAGATTCCTTTGGGTAATAAAGTCTGCACGCACAGAGCCTACAATAATGCAAATCCAGCAGAACATTTACAAAGTATTTGATTGTGTTTGAGAAACCTAAAGTATTTTTTTTTTCTAGACAAAGAATTTTAGTTGAGTTTCTAACAGAAAATTACCTTTTTTTTATTTATCAGAATTGGAAAGCATGCAATTATCAGTCCTAAAAGTAAAATGGATACAATGAGAAAACTGTTTAAACTTAGAACATTTGCTATCAAAGAATGATAAATGAAACAAATCCATAAATCCCTATGCTTGGGTACATGCATACAAATATTGATAGATCATAATAGGTACTGATGTACCACAATTAGGGATGAGCTCAAGGTTTGGTCTGATCACTATTTTGGACTGAACTTCAGGTATTTGGGTGATCTATTTCTACTGCTACTATATATGGATGTTAATATAGCATACAGGTACCATCACACACTGTGTTCAACTCCAGTGTAAGTTAAATGAAAGACAGGCTTCAGCTCAAATCCCCACCCATCGAGCATGCCCCTCCGACATGTTAGATCACAACCTCTACAATTAAGCCCAATGTGGGTGAAACATGTCTCAATTTTGGTGAAACATGTCAGAGGGGCATGACTGATGGGCAAGGATTTGAGCTGAAGCCTACCTTTCATATACTTTACACTGGAGTTGAATACCATATGCGGCGGTACCCATTTGCTATATTTTATCTTTGAACAGGATGTGCTTTGCCTCCGCCAACACCTGCATAGAGAGTATAAACCTTGGAAACTGACAATAAAGGCTTGGAGCAGCACTGATCTGTTTTGGCATATACAGAAGTTCTTACTGGTCAATGGTCACTAAGAAAGTGTTGGGTACTGGGACCTGACATGTCCTTAGCAACCAGTGATGTCACAGATGCCATTAATTTACTGGCTTGGAATCCCCAGCCATGTAAACAAAAGAAAGAGGGTAGCGTGACATTACTGACCAAGTATGACCACATGGCCATATTTGGGAAATGACATTGAATAAATATGGTTGTGGCCATACTTTGTCAATGAGGTGACTTGGGAGACTCTTCCCTTTGTTTACTTTTTTTTTCTTTCAGCAGGCAACTGACATCATTCATCATAATGTATGTGAATCTGCATATATGGACGACGTGACTGACCATGGATGTTGTAAGATTTTTTTGTTTTAAAAAAAAAATGTGTTAAACGCTGTATAAATATATTTATGTACCTTTTCCTATATATACCTTATTCCTATGGGGTGCATTATTTGGATGCCCCCTTATTGTTAAAGGGGGCATTCAGATTCTAATAAGCCTCCCACTAGCAAACTCCCACCACCACCACCAGTCCAGGGTTGTGGGGAAGAATCACTTGTCCTTATGGACATGAAGACAATGTGCTTTGCCAGGGAGGTTCCTCCTAGCAAGACATTCCCTACTATATTGAGGGCATGAGGCCTGGTATGAGTCAGGGCAGAGGGGCATATATTTTTCCACCCTTTCCTGGCCCGCCAGACTGCATGTTTTGCTAAGGATCCGGTACACAATTTTGGAGCGGATCCCACTCTTTTATTTGGGGGGGAGGTTGGGATGGAACTCCCCCTAAAAATGTTATCAGACCTTTAGGATCTGGTATGGAATTTAGGGGGAAACCCAAGCTGTGTTTTTTTTTTTTTGCATGGGGTTCCCTAGACATGAATACCAGACTTTCATCAATTATAAGGGTTTGGTATGTACCTCCAAGGGGAAAACTCGCACCATTTTTTTTGTGTGAGGGTCACCCATTAACATCTATACCAGATCCTCATCTAGGTTATCTATTTTTTCAAAGCCATTGTTTCATTGTTTCTATTTTTTGGGACTCTTTAATGACTGACATAGTTCCACTGGATTGGCATAATGCCAATGTGTGGTACCTGTTTTTTTAAAGAGATCAAGTAACTGCAGACTAGTTAGTTTAACTTGTATAGTTGGTAAGGTACTGGAAAGTTTAACTAAAACACATATTTTTGCTAGCAAAATATTTTAAGCAATAATCAGCATGAATTCATGAAAGACATAAGTTGTCAAAACAAATCTGATTTCTTTTTATGAGGAAGTAAGCAATACCATAGACAAAAGAGTGGCTGTGGATATAGTATACTTCAATTTTTGCAAAAGTGTTTGAATAGTCTTCCATACATGGCTAATGAGTAAGTTAGAGTCTACAAGCTTGGAAAATGTCACTTTGTAAATAGACAGAAAACTGGCTAAAAGTCCTTATTCGGAAGGTGTTGATTAATAATTCATACTCAGAATAGTTATTAGTGGTGTACCCCAAGGTTCAATGTTGGAACTTTTACTTTTTTTATATTTAAAAATCATATAGTCTGGTATTAAAAGTACAATTTCAGTCTTTGCAGATGACACCAAGCTATGCAGTGGACTACCTTCCTTACAGTATGTTTCCAACTTTCAAACTGACCTCAATGCACTGTTTAATTGGACAACTATGTGGCAAATGAGGTTTAATGTTGATAAATGTAAAGTTATGCACTTGGAGGCTAAAACATGCATGACTCACACATAATAGGAGGAGAATAGCTGGGGCAATCACTGGTGGAGAAGGATCTGGGAGTTCTGGTAGATCATAGGCTTCATAATTGCATGCAATGCCAAGCTGCAGTTTCTAAAGCAAGCAAAATACTTTTTTGTATTAAAAGAGCAATGGGCCCATTTTCATACCAATTTGATGCCATAGAGAACTAAGAGGTGTGACGTGTGTGTCCTCCCTGGCTGCTGCTGCAGCGTTAGGCCCTCTTGCGGGTGCTTCCCTATCCTCTTCCTTTGTTTTTTTTTTTTCTTCTCTCTCCCCCCCATCTTTTCTGTCATCCTCCCTCTGTCTTTCCTGACCTTGAGGACATACAGAACTTAAGACTGGGCCAAATCACAGTGGATCATAATAAAAAGACCTGGATGAACATGGTTGCCAAATCTTGTAACCTCTAAATTACTAGATCCCAGATGCCTTTTCCTATGCAAACTAAGGATGGTGTTTTGTCCAGAACTAAAAGATGACAACTAATCAAGACACACACATCACTGATTAAATAAAATGCATAATTAACTAATGAGGTATAGAAAGAAAACAACGACATACATTACACAAACCATAGATAGTCAAACTTTTTTATAGCAAGGACTGTGAAATTGTGGAATAGACTTCCACGGGATCTAGTTCTAGCATATGCCATAAATTGTAACAGAAAATGCTGGATGTGTTTCTAAAAGCACAGAATGTAATTGCCTATTAATATTTATAAAAAATACCATTGTAGAACACTGATCCAGAGAATAGTGAAATGTCTTTGGGGATCAGCAAGGAATCTTTTTCTTGTTAGAGTAAATTGGACATCTTATAAGGTGTTTTGCCTTCCTCTGGCACACTTGTGAGTTTAGAGTTATGAGGATGCAGAATTTTGTTTTATCTATTTTTGTCTTTTGGTAGAACACTGTGGACATCTTTTTTTTCAACCTAACTTTGTAAGTACAGTATGATGAGAAATGTTGCCATCACAATGATTTTATTGTTAAATATGATTGTGGCAGCTGGCTATATTAATTTCTTGCATTTGGGGTTCACACATTTGGGATGTGTAACTTACTATACCAAACTGTATACTGTTAACAATGCTTTTTTAACATTAAATAAATGAAGCAAGACACTAAAACTGGTCCAAAAATATGATAATGTGATACAGCCAGAAAACAACATGTACATCACTGAGCTCAGTCGCAAAATCATTTTCAGTGTCTAATGACGAATTCGAATTAGACGAATAATCGCTCAATTCTGCAAGTGGTTCTAATTTACTATCGCTGTTTTCTAGCTGGTCTAAAACCGCTTTTGACCTAAAGGGACACATTTTGGATGCCATGGACATTTCTCAGTTTCTAGGCAAAAAGAACAGTAAAAACCCAGGCAGGGCACAGGACAAAGCACAAAATGTATGCAAAATGGTTTGATACAGTAATGTGATACTATCAGATTTTAGTGTATTGAGTGAATGTCAAATTTTTACATTTTTGAAATTCCTGCCAGTTCCGCCCCTCGTACGTACCGACGCTCGCAGGGAACGGAACCCCCAAAGACGGATGCCGGCATCGGCCGAGGTCATGGCCGTGGATGCTGCAGGGGAGACATTGAGGGACAGCAGGACAAAGTAAGTGCTCAAGGGATCGTTGGAGAAGCGCTGCAGTGTAATCCTGAGTGTAATTTGGGATTACCGCTTCTGGTACTGAAAGTTAACCACGAGCTACGCTCAGGATTACTGCTAGGCAGGTTAAGGAAATCTTTCATCTTCATGGTATGCTCTCTCACATCATCCCTGATAGGGGAGTTCAATTTCCAGCTTGCTTCTGGAGGGCTCTGGCTGCATCCTTTGGAATCAAGTTGGACTTCTCCTTGGCCTTTCACCCACAGTCTAATGGGCAAACTAAAAGGGTCAACCAGAATATTGAATGGTATATTCGTACCTTCATTTCTGACAATCAGGATAATTGGGTAGACCTTCTACTCTGGGCAGAATTTGCCCTCAATAACCATGTGAATGCCAGCATTGGTGAGTCTCTTTTTTTCATAGTGTATGATCGCCATCCTTCTGTATCATTTTCTGTTCCGATCTCTTCTGTGGTGCCTGTGGCTGCAGAGATGCAATGATTCTTCAATTCCGCTGGGCACATGTTTCCAAGAATTTACATCTGGCAGCTTCCAGGAACAAATTGGCTGCAGATTGTCATCACAATTTGAGTCCCAAATTTCTACCTGGTGACAAGGTTTGGCTCTCTCTACCAAGAATATCTCTCCGAGTATCCTCTATGAAATTTGCTTCTCATTTCATTAGTTCCTGTACTATCCTCTACCAGGATAGTCCTGTTGTTTTCAAGCTCCATCTCTCTTTACATTTAAGGATTCTTAATGTTGTCCATGTTTCTTTCTTGAGACTGTACATCATCAATAGGTTTTCCTGTCTCCTTCATCATCCCTCTCCAGTGGTCAATACCACAGCACAGTATGAAGTCAAACAAATCTTGTATTCTTAATACTCCAGGATGAGGCTTTTATGTCTGATTGACTGGAAGGGATATGGTCCTATGGAGAGATGTTGGATTACTTCTACACTTGAGTGTACTCTGCACACGCGAGTGATCTCCACATCCACAGCTAGGTGTACCTGGGGGCCACGACCTGGTTCCAGTTTGCTGCAAGTCTATCCCCATCATCAGGGGTCCTGGTGAAGAAGCAGGCTGGGGCTTAGACTCTGCACCCTGGGGAACCCTGAGATGGTGGTCTACAAGGGCTCACTACCACAGATGCTTGACAGGCTGGATGTGTTTTAAATGCACACAATATAACTCACTAATTGTAGTTATAACAAATAACACATAAAGTGTTTATCTATTTAGCACTGGAATGCCTTTGGGGATTAGGAAGGAGTCTTTTCCCTGTTAGAGTAAGTTAGACCACACATTACAGGGTCTTTTGTCTTCCTCTGGATCTATTGTAGATTTAGATTGTGAGGATGCAGGTTGTTAATTTATTATTTGTTGTCTTTTTGGCATAACTGGATGGACGTGAATCCTTTTTAAGCTTTATATGTAAGTATAATGAGAAATGTTGCCAGCTCCATATTTTATTTGTCAAATGGAGTACTAACTGGTTATACTCCATTCATGTGCT